GTGGACGGGCTAGGCGGACATAGGACCAATAAGGACGCTAGACTGCTCATACTGGTCGAACGTCATTCGTTTGGCACAGTGCTAAGATTGTATAAGTCGTATATTGATTGGTGGATAAATCACGTGATAAAAAGCGGACATAAAGTCATGACATCTAAGGCAGAGTTTAAATGGTTTGAATGATAATCCATTAGAAACTCTGACTAGAGGTTTTCAGTTAGTTCAACCTTATTATTAAGGTAATATCTATGACTTTGATAAGTGATTTTTTTATAAACGATCTACTATTTACAGAGATTACTAGTGTTGTATTTTGTCTGTGATTGACTTCTTGTAATATTTTGGCCACTAAGTGTTCTGTAGTGATATAAAGTGGTTGATAGTAATCAGTAAGGAACCTTGATCGGCCTAGATTTCTTCATAGTTGGCACTCGCCAATTAGAGATATCTGTAATTTTGAGGAAACCGATACTGGTTGGGAGATCCAGACACAAGCAATTCAGCTTCTTAGTTTAAGACGTTACCAGGAAGCTATTTTTGGGTTAAGCTAACTTCTTGTATGACAGAGATTTTTAAATTAACTGATCACTGAGTGGTGACTAATCTCATGTTTTTCTAGCCTTTAGTTTTGATAGGACCTGATAGATCATGTTCTTTCATTCAATTATCTGTGTTCTATTGTTTGGCGCTTCATGTCGATCGAGAGTGTTCGAAATGTAAGCGGGCGTTAAATAATCATGGTCAGGTGTTCATCGGTGAGACTATAATTTATGGACGACCTTTGAGCGACGCCAAAGTGACCTTGTGAGTGTCTACCTACTTATTAGGGCTAAATGAGCGTCGTAAAGCAGTTTGAAGAATAAGAATTATGATTGACAGTTGATGATTAGAGTTACAAATTAGATTTACGGTTTTTCATCACGAACTGACATCAGCTAAAATGCCAAGACGCTATTTGGCCAGACGGATGAGTGAATTTCGCGCCAAAATTCGAGACCTGTTATCTTATACCTGATTGGTTCGTCCATAAATTATATTCTCGTCAAGTACTAAGAGATACGTCGCACTAATCGGAATGACAAAACTAAAAAAGATCACTGGTTAATAACAAGAATATTACACACAAAAAAAACACCAGAAAGATTGGTCCCATAAGAGCAGTAGTGTATAACAAAGTTGCCTAACACGTAACAACTGGTTATTATATTACGACTAGATGTTACATCGTTATTCTTTTTACTTTGTCCATTTGGTTGTAGCTTTGTAGAGAAGCCATTGACAGCCAGCATTATTAATGTTTCAAAATTATAACGCATTTAGTTTTCAACAACGTTTAAAACACATTTTCGGATGTGTTACTTGGATAGTGTTGACGCTAAATGTAGGCAACTTCTCTCAGAGTTGAGTAAGATCCTCAGCTCAGAAGGGTACTATCTTATTGGCGTAAAGTAAAAATGTCCTTATTAACTCGATGTTTATTTGAGCTTTCCAAGTCAAACTAAAATCACAACAATAACAAGCATAGCACAGACTAGCAGTTGGTCCTAGTATTCACTATTTAAAATCTGATATCCTCCACAACGTCACCATTACTATTAACAAAACAACTGTTTCCGACAACTCATCTTCAAGATTGATAGCAACTAAAGGCTGCTGTCAACCTTGCAGATGAATTTTTCATTTCATCGCCATGCTGATGGGTATGAATTTCCAATTGGTTTTGGTTGATATGTAATTACACAATAAAATATGACCCGCAAATTCTGAATTAAATAATATTTCTCTATAACACACTTGATCTACCACCACTTAGTTTATACGGACTAATTTAAAAACTGATGGTTACATTAATTTGGACAGTTTCTCAGATGTTCTTACATGAGGAAATCAGACGAAGACATGGCACCCATCCATGAAATCATTGACTATTACAGCAGAACAGTTAGATGAAAACTACCTGGTTTGTGTCCGTGAGATAACCGTGATCGGTGGTTGGAGACGTTGGGTGACATTGCTCAGAATCGGTCATAGTGAGACAGTTGGATTAGCTCGTTGCCTTCCTCCAAGTGTGGAAATCCAAGATTATTTTGCACATTATATCCCTCGGATTAATTCCTATTTGTGTTGTATCCCTCAATATTTAATCTTTCTCAATATCAATAGTGCTAATATTATACAGACTCTTGTTGTTCATGTTCTTAATTACATCTCGTCATGCTAATAAGGTATGGCAACATCGGCAAGGTTCGAACAAGTGTGTACAATATGAGTAGGATAAGGGATTAATTGTTTCGTTTATTTGTGCTCTTAAAGCGAATTCCCTGAGATGTGCACCATCCTCTTTAAATGAAAAATAACTCTCATTAAAAGAATGATCTAAAACTACCCATTCAGTATTTTCACAACCAGGTTTTAAATCTTGGACAAATATCTCAACATTATTTCAAATAAATTGAGCATTAGGTTGGAAGTTAATAATAATAATAATGTTTATTTTTTTATTATGTCCCAATGATAAGAAAAGTGTACTTCTAGTCATTAGTATATTACAAAAAATATAATTATAATCTCAACATTGATTTCGACAGAATTCGGTGGATGTTAGAGACTAGGCAGTAGTAAGTGTGATCAGCCGTAATGGGTTGGTGTCTGACGAAATTTCAGCACGAATTCGAAAAGCTCGTCTGGCTTTTGTCAACTTATGTCACTTATGGCGAAAGCGAGATATCCGTCTATCAATTAAGGGACGAGCACACTGAGCAGCAGTTCGTTCTTTTCTACTTTACGGCTACGAAACGTGGACATTAAGAGTAGAACATACTCGTAAGCTACTGGTTTTTGATCACATATGCCTAAGAAATATCGTTCGCGTCTGCTGGGATCACCAGGTAAATAATAGTGAGGTTAGACACAGGGTATTGGTGAACGATAGAAAATCAGTTGATGAGGTTGTGAATGTTCATCGACTGAGATGGTTGGACCACGTGTCGCGTATGCCTGAACACGGATTACCACGACGCGCAATGCTGACTAGTGTTGGGGATGGTTGTAAGAGAGTTATGTTCGGCCAAACCAAAGCGTGGCATCAGTACTTGAAGCCACTAACTTCTAGTCTGAGCCATGTTGGTAGATACAGACTACGTAGTTGGGGTCCGCGTGACTATCGACGTCAGAATAATGTTCATTCATTTCTATGCATATTGCCAGTCATCAAAATGTCTCCGATTGTACATTTTTGTAACTTGTACAGAGAAAGGTCGTAAATTTTTCACAAAAGCACCTGAATAGATTATGCGATTAACTGGCATAATGATCTGTTAAAACAAACAAAGAAACAGATAACTTACTGAAATCTCTGGATGGTAGAAACAAGTAGCCCAGATATTCAAGCAGGCTGCGTTAAGAAAATACTCTGATATAATTACAATAAGTCAATATTTCGTTTAAAAAATCCTACCATAATCTGACATTATTTTATTAAAACAAGAATTTTTCATAGATAATGGTTAGTAGTGGAACCCAGGACACGCGTTCCGTGCTACGTGGGACTCGTTAGCTGGATCTACTTGCATTCCGCAGTTGATGTTCACTCCGTGAGGGACTCGAACCCAGCATAGTTCGCTTCAAACGTAATCGTGTCATCGATTTAGCCTCTGAGTCCTGGTAGCCACCTGCTTGTGCAATGGAGTGAAGTTGAAATTCACTTTGTATTGTTTGTTTGAATCTTCCCTTTGATGTTTAGGACTGCAATTGACCAGTCTCTTATTGGCATATGTGCATACCGTGTGTATTACCTCGATATCGGACGAAACGTGCGTCCTGGATTCCACCGCTAGCCACTATCCATCTTTGCATATAATGCTTTTGGATTAAGGTAATATCAATGCAATACGCACAGTATGCATATATGCCAATGAGAGACTGATCAATTGCAGTCTTAAACATCAATGGGAAGATTCAAATAAACAATACCAAGTGAATTTAAGAATTAGTCATGTTAATATTTATTCAAGATTATGTTTTCCTACATATCACCTTAAGTTTATTTACTATTTTGTCTAACAAGACATTAATCAACCAACCAATGACAAGATGAACGTAGTCAATATCGAAATGAGATACAAGTAAATATCGGTATGAAGAAAATCAACATAACCGAATCCATGTATTTTAGTGGTAAGGTTCTGATGCTATGTTTATGTGATTTAGTATATTTGTGCCTGTCCATTTCTTCATTTGATCGATTTCTAAACGGATATGTCGACTTTATGTAAATGTTCATCGTTTACTTCCTTCTATCTAATCATGATGTCATGTGAAGCTGTGGTTCTGTATAGTTATGCAGTAGTCTTTCTAAAAACTTCTAGAAAAGATACGAATGTTAGCTAATTTCTAAATTTTTCTAATTCCAAAATGCAGCTTGATGCAGTGTAATTTTTTAAGTATTTTCTGGACAAACTAGAAAATGGACCTGTTGAAAGACATTCTAAGTAAGCTAGATTTTTACTGTTGATACATAGATGACACGTTAATCGTATGTGACGAAAAGTTCAATAAATAGACTTAGATGCTTGAATAACAAATTACATTACAAAGAACCGGACTATAAGGGATTGACTGTTAGCTAATGACTAATTCTTGTCTGTTATGACCTGAACAAAAAAATTAATAAACAGTTACAAGTGAACTAACAACATATTATCATTTAATGGAAGATAAATCTTGTGTATAACCAAATAAACAATATTTACAATGTTTCACTTGATCACTTTTCCTAATAGCAAACAAAAATAAAAAGAGATCTAACCGTGAGTGCAGACTTCAACACACGACTCTCTGGAGTGGCTTTGCCTTTGTTAATCAATCACGCTTGTAACCGTTATTATGTAAACCTTAAAGGTGTTTAAAATCAGAAGGCAATGAGAAGCACAACTGCAGTTTATTAGGGGATAGCACAGATCACAGAGCTACAAGCGAGCAACTACATAGGCAAATTAATAGTCAAATTGTATAAGGACGCAACAAGGCAAAGCAAGAATTAATAATAGGATTTGAGTACATATATACATGGGGAAGAGAATGAATTATCGAGTGACGTTTAAGCAATCAACATTTTAGCTGTAGTCTATCATTTAATCTCATGATCATAACTGTACAAAGAAATATGCGAATTGTCACTGTCCAAATAAATTTTCTTTTAAGTAAGTTAATAAAAACGGCTTAATCATAATGGATTTTGGTTGTAGGATAGTTGCTATATCCCGAACAATAATCCAATGTAATAGAAGTTGGAATATTTAGTATTCTATAGCGTTTTATTGTATAAATGATAAATTTTATTCTTCCGAGGCTTTAACGATATATATAGTGTTATATTTAGAGAGGTAATAAACTGAATTTTTTAAACAAATTTATGTACCATCTATACTGACTAAATGGTCATCAGAAAAAATAGGCATATTGACAATTATAATTAGAGAGGGCGGTTAAGCGCTTGCACGCGAGACTGATAGGCCCTGGGTTCGAATCTCGCGAGGCGGGATCGTGGATGTGCACTGCTGAGGAGTCCGATACTAGGACGAAACGGCCGTTCGATGCTTCCAGGTTATCAATGGTAGTCTAGCTTCAATTGACCCATGGATTCAACTATTAAAAATATTGACAATTACTTTATTACTGACAAACGTCTTATTGTAAAGCGAAAGAAAACATTTTAAACATTACAGTGAAACCCTATACACATACAATGCAAATACTTCGTCACATGAAAGCAATGATTGTAAAGAATTGTTTTTCGACTATAAAAATTATTTTTACAAATGCACGGAACATGGAACATACAATATGCATAAAACAATTTTTGTAAAATAGTGCTGATGACTAAAAAATCAGTGAATGAAAGTAGACGAAATGCGTTTAAGATTTGGAATTTGTACAACTAAGCTATCACGACTGATAAAGTACAGCACTACTTAAATGACTAAAACTATTGATTACGGCTTAAACGAATTAATGGTATAATATACTAATGCTCTCGTTCTAATCGCCGGCTTTCCTAACATATTCGTACACTATGCAGTATAGCGTATTCATATACACAGTGGTTAGATATTTGTAGCATATTTCAGCTACTTCTGCTGATAAAAAGTGGTCTTTTCCCTAACAGGTTTACGTCACCTAAATAGTACTCTACGTTTCATGTTTGATTGTTCCATCTTCAATTGTGCCCCGTATCACATTGGCACGACAAGATGGAATTAATAAGGTCAATAGCAAAAGAGAACAGGATGTACTAGTAAAACCCGTGGTTTATGCATGTCTTCTACTTTCAGACGATCGAGAATAGTATAATGAACGTTAGATAATTCAAAGTAACCGGTTAGAAGTTATGTAACTTAGATTGTAATGCTATCTGACATCAAGCAAAGGATTGTGTCACGACAGATTGATGCTCTGTAGAAATTAGAAGTAGGCATTACAGTAACGTTAACATCTGCGCAAATAATAATATTATTACTATGTGGCATAGTAACACCTTGTTAAGTTCTCAAGATGAAATGTAGGCTGGAATTTCCGGGAGTGACACAACCGATGATACGAGGTATCTAATATACGTAGTTCCCGGATGCCGTAGAACCAATAACTGATGGGTTTATTGCATCTTACTCACCAATGATCGTACCTTGTGATCTGTCATTATATGACGAGTCTGTTTAGTTCTTTTGATTAGTTTGTCTGACCTTTTGAACAGAAAAGAACAAATGCCTCAACAGGAACACTAGGACAAACAAAAGTCATTCATAGTCAGAGTAATCAGAACTGGCTGAGAAGGACAATATAAACTTCGCAGTTAGACTACCCTGAGCAAAAAATAAACACAACAAAACTAACAGTATACACGAACTACAAATTTCCAACATAAGTACATATAATCTTGGGGCTGGGTTGTCATCTCTTACTAATTGCCGTACTTATATTTTCTGAAATACTAAGCCGTTAAATTCGTGAAGATTTTTAAAAATATTATACAAGAATTATGGAACGATTTGACAACCATTTTGTCTTTCGCAGCTTTCTTTATATAATGTGAAACTCTTAACGTTTGTTCATAACATAGTGGCACTAGATATTAAATGCATAATATTTTCCATAACATTAAGAAATCTCCGCAAACCTCCCATGATAGTAATAGTAATGTGCCAACTAGCGGAAAGACGAGAAACACACGGCGGAAAATAATATCATAAGCAATGGAAACCTAGAAATGAGAAATAAAGTCCATACAGTTGAGACTAAATTAATAAGTGATATTTAACTCGAATTTGAACTAGAGATGGACATTAAGTTCAGCTGCACCATTTTGACTAATTTTGTCCTATGTAATCCAACATCCCTAACAGGTGATTACGAATTCTATGCGGACTCCAATGAGAAAGTCTGTACCCAACGACATGGCTCAAACCAACTCAACGATTTCATGGGAAAATGTCCTGACTCGCCAAACCTCTGGCACTTTCGAACCTGCTTTGGTATCGGCAACCACAGGGCACCGAAGAAGCTGGTTAAACATGTGAGTTAGCTTTCTCTAAATGCTCTCACATGGTCATGCATATACAGCCACTATCAGGAAAGTCCAACTCACTGCCATCTCGCGAAAGGGGTGATGTTTATAAAATCAAGAGGATGAAAAATGAATGTCCGACGCTTTAACCGGGTTAGTGGATATGGAGGATAAACCTAGGGGAGTTGGAAAACCCTCATCCCAAAACCAATAGTGCACATGTGCTCCAGGATCTTAAAGTAACAAGTGGCGCGTGAATCAATTGTTAATCATGGACTACTATGGGACTGCATCTCCATACGTTGCTCCACCACTCTTTGGATTAGACCCTTAGGTCAAGGGATTGAGGAGTGCCCTCCATCCCCAAGAAAACCACCTGCTTCGCTTTGGGCACTTGGGTGGTATTCCAGCCTTCATGAAAATCTAATTATTTGTGTGGCGCATATGTATTCAGTGCCCTCTTGTACCAGTGTTTGTTTAAATAAATAAATATAAGCAAATAAGTTCATGTCTACAACATTCCAACCATGTAGCGTCCAAAAGTGCTTGTTTTGTTTACCTAGTATCATGGAACTCATCTCCCCAACGACCTAAACAGGCCACAAACTTGGCCAAATTTGGTGGAAAAAATATAATGTAGCTTTAAAAATAAATCATAATTTCTAAAACACCAAAAGAAACATCACAATGCACTCTTGATTTGAAGTAGTGTTCATAAATACAAATTACGTCCAAGTAAAGTCAACAAAACAGGTTACAAACGCAAAGTTAGGTTATCTCAAGTTAAAATCAGGGGAAATAAATGAAGTGAAACAAATTCAGCTGAACAAAAAACTATCTCACGATTGTCTAAGTCTAGCTAAGCGTTGCGTGAGACCATCTTCCTCTTCCGCTGAAATAGGGGCCACCGAAACTGAACCGTGAGTAGAACCAGGGAGTTCATAGTTCAGTTCTATTCCAGTTTCGTCAGCTACCTGATTTATCAGTCCTTGAACTTCATTTTCAGGAGTTGAAATGGACATCGCATTGGCTAGCGAGGAGCTCACAAGCTATTTAATTGAAACCAACATAAATAACTAAACAAACCTTTGACTGTATATCCATGTTGTCGAATTCTCTTTCGAATTTATCCATGAGACAGCTAACCTTTTCCATATCCATAGTCTTGGCTGCGTTTTCCATACAATTGACAACTGTCATAATGCTCTTAGTAAAATTTTTGGTAGTCATGGCTGTCTGAACCCTAGAGACAACAGCATCGATTCGCGCAGCAAGTCTCAGATAGCTGGTTGCGGTGTGCTTATGTCGAATCGCATTTTCTGCATGGATTCTTGCACCTTCATGGTCCCCCTTCTTGATAGCAGCCTTTAATTTATTCTTAGACTCCACCTCGTCTTTGTTGCAACGAATTGCACAACGCTGCATTTGTTTTGCAGCGAATTTTAAGCCAAATATCTGTTTCTCCATGCTTCGTCGACCTGCTAATTGTTCAAGCCAGGGACGACCTTGAGTTTTGACTCATCTGACAGCCACTGCTTTGTCTGAACTCCCTCCCTTCAATATCCAATATGTTTGTGACGAATAGATGTATACAGATTTTCTTTTTTCGTAGTCATATATCAATGTTTAAGCACGGATTTTGCTTTTCAGTAGTTCTACATGGGTGTTTTAGAAACTAGACTGCAGTATTACGAATGAATTTAACATCTTGGAGGTTGGAATTTCTTGAGTATGAGTAAGTAGATTTATCATGAACAAAAAAGGTTTATAAGGCAAAGTAGCTCTAACTTTACATGACAGCAGGCTAGTTAATTGGATTGTAAACCCTTGAAGATTGTGATGCTAATGAGTAGAAGGGAATAAGTGTTCAAAATAAACAGACAAATTAGTAAATAATTTAATTGACCAGGCAGATAGGTGAATAAGTGTATAGGCACATAAAAACAGGAAGAAGCGTGGATCATAAAGGAAAAAGCAGGGCGATTTTAGTTGAATTTATAGTTACGATACTGCACTATAGTCATTAATTTGTGCGACGTCCATTTTTAGCTAGTCTTACCACGCAGCTAATAGATTGAAAAGTAGACGGGAGATGATTTTAATGTACCACGATGATTATTAGAATTTTAGAGAAGAAATCAGGGGTTAAGTAAAAGCAGAAGGGAAACAAATCTTTGTTTATGTTGAGCTCCACCATATGCTAGGCTTTCCCCCAAGGACACAACAGATGCTCAGGCTTCTTAGAAGTTCCCAGGTTGATAGATCTTTGACCGAAACAACTTTTTAAGCATTCCACTGTGCACAAAATAATAGTAAGACAATGAAATTATGTGTGAATGCTTTCTTTCCGACGACCAACCCGACAAGTTCCGCTTCGTGGATCCACATGATAATCTTATGTTGAGTCGCCTTTTGTTCAGACTTGAAATACTTAGTACGTGAGAAACTTCAGTGGCTACATCCTCCTATCTGTAACTAGCACAACGCAGATGAAGCTAGAAATCTGATCTTGACATTTTCAGCTATTTGAGAATTTCATTGTAAATCTTCGCATTCTAGTCAGTAGTCTTTCATACACTTATAGGAATCGGTGCTCAACTAAATTTTCAGCTTCAAGCTTCGTAAATCTCAATAACAAACTTAACAACCAATAGTCCAAATAAAATAGTGTTCAATGTTTTTGTTATCTGTTGACAGTGGGTATCAATGTTGTTATCTACAAAACGAGAATTTACTTTAACATCTACCGACGCAGATCAAAGGTAGTGACTGCTGTTTCAGCAAGCGATTTATTGCTGTCAGAGCGAAGAAAAGAACGTGCCCTAATCTTTCTAAGGATTAGATTACCCAATTCAACATTTGAGGTGACCTACTCGAATAGCCGGGAAACATATTCCTACCTTCCAGATATCTCGATAAGTTGCCTTTATTGCTTGATTTAACACACCACTGTGTATATTAATCGCATGACCTATTGAAGTGTGCATACGAAAGGCATATGACTCATCAATTTACATGATATTAAAAGTGTAATCAGAGCCATTTTTGTGACTGGTGATATGCACTGAAGAGAATGAACATTATTCAGATGTCGATTCCTGAACAGCTAACTTCTAACTGCAAACTATTATTTGACAAAGTGGACTATCTTCAATTCCTACAATGTCCAAGCACGTATCGTAACTGCGGCGTGATCACAATTCAAGACGATTGTTTAGCATCACTAAAAGGTTTTAATATTTACCATCCGAAAATGCGGAGAGAGATAAAAATGATCCCAATACCTAAGGAATAACTGATTATAAGAATTTAAAATTTAGAACTATAGCAATAATTTCACCGTTTCTCAAAATAATGAGAAAATTATTGCCACTCACTTCAACGTAGGCTGAAAGAGTATACTGATCTATATCAGTTTGCTCATCAGTGCAAAAGAAGTACCTAGGGTGCTGTTCATGTTCTGTATCATGATATAATGTTCAACTTTGAAGAAAGTGGGGGGTAAATTGCTAGACTATACTTCTACCTTTGACTCGATTGCAAGATAAGTGCCGCTTAACAAGTAGGTCAACGTCAGCTCCGACAGCTGGGTATCTAAATGACTCCGTTCCTGCCTTTCTGGGATAGAACAGCTCACCGTGTATGGGGGAAAATGTTCAGCATCTCTACCAACTCGTGGCATTCCACATGAAGCTATTTTCCCCTCATCTTCCAAAAAATAAATTTTAAAACATACGGACGATCTCACTGGATGTGTGCTGATTTCTAACTCTCCACAGCCCCTTGAAATGAATGGATTCCTGTCTCTCATTAGACAGTGTTCTGCTGTTAATGGTCTCACACTTAATCTCTCAAAATGTCAAACTGTCAACTTTAGCCTGAAACAGAACATTAACTCTGAAGAACTGTGTGGCTTGACAACTTTGGAGGATCAGGATCTATGCAGCAGTGACTTACCACTGAGACACAGCAAAAACTACATTGGCTGCCGGAGTTTGTAGTCTGAATACGTTATGAGGAATAGTTGAAAGCAAAGCATTTAGCATGATTAGAGCAAAAATATGGTTTCAAACGGACTAAAGAACTATCTTGTAACCTTTTTCTGACACATCAGGCTAACTCCGTCATAAAAGGGATGGTCAGTAATCCACAACACAGGATCGCAAACAAGTTACTACCCAAGTAGGGTTATTAAAAAGATAAAGTCGACGAAATTGTGTAGCGGAATATTTATGCGGGTATACCAATAAGCTAATAAATAGGTTTGTGTGGTAAAACCGTACAATGAATGTGAGGTTCTATAACTATCCGAAAATGGCCGACCGTACAAGTTGTGACCTTGTTGAAGGCATATATGATCCAAGTTTGACCTGAAGCCCCAGAGTTACGTGTTACAATCGTGGTCCTGAAAAAAAGTTGAAGAGAAAAGGCTGAGAAGTCGGATTGACCAAAACAAGTAATTCGCAGGCTCTTCACTGCAGATCCCGTTAGAAAACATCAATCCTTCAGGAATCATATCCAAACACATCGGAAAGTTAAAGCTGATGGACTATGGAAAGACAATGATATTATATACATTACATTATACATAATGCATAAGATAAAGTGCATGTCTCCAAACGTAAAATAAATGAGTGGGAATGGACTGGTGGTCAGAAAGTGGTAGAAAGGAAAAACATCTGTCAAAAGTGAAAAACTGATAGAAAATAAACGGGAAGGGACCCAGGTCTTATCAGAGTTGATAATGTTTCTTGTTAACAGGTGCGGAGTGTTTCAGAATAACTACCCGAATAATCTTAAGGTACTCAATATTTCATTGCGTCGTAGTACGAAGTGGTTTTATACCTCAACTTATGAGATATCACAGGTAGTTGACCAGCATGTCACGGCGTTCAAACAAAAAGGTGATAGGATATCTGCGTTTTTTAGTCCTCATGGAAAGAGAATATACAGTACGTAACAGGAAACGACAATGATAAAATGAAAAGAACGTAAGTTTTCCATCCGTCTCACTCGAACACTAACTTTTGAGTCTTCCTACTAGGCCTAGTGAACATGTAGTGGCATTGGGCCATAACCACACAGTCCTCAAATCTGATCACGAGACAAATGGGAAAATAGATATTCAACATTTAACGCGGAGAAAAACCCAACGATGGATAAGGCAGGAAGAAGGAATTGAATCAACTGATTGATCGGATGGCATGGCTCGGCATTGCAGTCATGGTCATAACCATATGAAATAATTGTTATACATACTAAATAAATTGTTCTATCTCCAGCCCAAATGTGTTCTTCATATGTTGACGACTGTTACGATACGATGAGTCAGGGTAGAAGATGATGTGACTTGCACGTAAGATCTTATAGATTAGGTAGTTATATCATGACAAATCCACAATTTTTGGATTAGGTCTATTATCAGAGCAGTGCTAATGTTGAAGTAGACCATAATTCTACAGATACATTAGCTCCAAACTTCTTAGGTCAAATATGGCGAAGCAGAGGTCGACACCTTCAAATGCCAACTTCCTTTACAACGTCTATTCGTTACGCACTGGGTTTTTATCAGCTAACCAGGGTTTAGTAGCTTGAAGGGCAATGTGATATAAGCCAATGTAATAACAGTAGAATGAAACCATAATTCATAAATCAAGCTGCCATGTTTCCACGTTACCTGGCAGACCATTAAGTGCTGAATAGTTTGCTAAACTATACCAGGTCGAGGTAGTGACTAGTGTGGATCAATCAATGTTATGCCATGGACTATACCATGTGGTAGTGTACTTACTCCACACTTCTCTTATCTGTTTTCCCTATGCTGATTTTGCAATGTTTTTTGTACCAAATAATCACCAAAATGGTCACATTATCTAATTACCCTGTTATAATAATCCGGGCTGTGTTTATTGAGAGTTATAACTTCACATGAAACAGCAGGTCATATAATTTACAACTAAAGAATTATGGTCTACTATAATATTAGTGCTGCTCTAATAATAGACCTAATTGTGGAAGTCACACCATCGACTACACCAACTCACTGTATCGTGTCAATTACCAATACATGATGTAGAACAAGGTTAGGCTAGAGAAGGAACAGTATATTTAATATGAATAGAAAATATAAGGTAACATTCAGATGGACCACGCCTGCATGGCCGAGCCATGCCATCCGATCAACTCCAGTCCATTCAATTCATTGTTCTCGCCTTCTCCATCGTTAGGTGTTTCTCCGCGTTAAATATTGAATATTTATTTTCCGAGTAATCTAGTATTCAGCTTTGAGGATTGTGTGGTTGTGGTTTAATGCCACTACACAACCAACTGATGCGGACCTACCATCCATTTGAATCTGGGTCCAGAACTTGTATATTTCACCGATATTATATTCCATATTTTTGTGTTGAACGATGAAGGAAGCCCACGTGTGTGTACAACCCTAACATGTTGAATTTTCTCCAAAG